CTATACCAAGTTAAGGCATGATAAGGGGAATCTTGCTGCTGGAGAAGGTGATGAGAGGAGGTTGGTGAGGAGTAACCTCTTCGTCTGCTCAGCCCTCTACAGAAGCTAAGCAACATGGACCCAGCCATGCTGGAGCGCCTCCTAAACTTGGACCGTCTGCTAGGCTCCCAAGGGAGTCAGGGGACCCCTCTGTTGAGTACCCCAAGGCGAGAGCGAATGGTGCTCATGAAGACAGTGGAGGAGAAGGACTTGGAGATTGAGGTAAGTATTGGAGCTAGCAGCTGTGATTCCTACCAGCCTTGAGAAGTAATTCTAGGATCTTCAGGGAGGGAAGGACACTCAAAGACTGGACTAGAGTCTAGTTTTCACTCAAGTCTGAAGTTCTTCACCTTCTGCTTGAGTGTTTAACATGGCTGAATTTTTAAAACAAAAACAAGATCCAATTTGAGGTGGTGAGAGGAAAAAATTCCAAGGAAAAGAAACAATTGTTGGATATTGCATTTCCTAAACTTCATCTCACATTGAGGATTCTGTGTGAATAGTCCTTCCCTTCAGTGTTTCTAAAGGAGCTTGTCCCACCACTGTGTAGCCCCTGTTTATCAGAAAGCCTTTAATTATATTGGATACTACCTGTGCCCCCGAAGCATCTCTCACTGGTCCTACCTAACCCTGCTGTCTAGGGCGTCAGGGTCCTATATAGTCACCCTCTTAATCACTGTTCTTCAGGCTACTCTGGAGTTGGGTCTGGGTCACATCTCTTCCTGGTTCCTTCTAACAGAGGCTTAAGATGAAGCAAAAAGAACTGGAGGCTAAGGTGCTGGCCCAGAAGGCTGAGGATCCAAAGAAGGAGAACCGTGCTCCCACAATACTACGGCCCCTTGCCCGTCGCACAGTCACAGTGGCAAAGCCCCTGAAAAAGGCTGTGGTGATGCCTCTACAGCTGAGTAAGTTAGCCTCCAGGGGTCAGGAAGGTCCAGGTGACTGAAATCCTGTGAAGGACAAGGTGTTAGTAGGTGCTGTCCTAATGTCACTCACATCCTCTTACCATACCTCTTACCTCTTACCAGGTCAGTGGGGTGTAAGGATCTGAAGCAGCACTGGGGGGTGGGGGGGGTGTCTATCTATCCTCAGGTGTTTAGAACGATGGGAGAGACATGAGTGAAAGATTGATTATAATGTAAGACCAACTGAGATTACTTTCAACCACAAGTGTGAGAAAGGCCACATGACAGTATAACCAAATAGGTTAACTCAGGGTGGAAGAGAGCTGGGGAATGAAATATGGGAGAACTAAGTGGCTACCAGGGAGGGTGAAAAGTGGCTTCTGGCCTGATACCAGTTCACAATTCCTGCTTTCAGTTCAGGAGCAGGCAGCATCCCCAAGTGCTGAGATCCACATCCTGAAGAAGAGAGGCCGGAAGAGAAAGGTGAGAATAGCTAGGGGCTTAGGCTACACCTATGGCCTGGCAGAAATAAGTTCCAGGAGCAAGAGCATTGACCTTGGAGTTGTATAACCTGGCAGACACTAGCTATTTAAAAGTCTTCTAACTTGCTTTTCACTCTTTGATGATAGTATGTTGCAGGGTATTTAGAGTAAAATGCAATGGATATGGATATACCTAGCAGAGTGGGTGTCTATACCTGTTTCTTCCCTTTGTTTCTGGTAGCTCTCACCGTCACTATACTTAATAGGTGCAGTGTATAGCCTGACTACTGCCCTCTAAAAACTCAGGAAAATAGGATCTGGGTGCTCAAGAGTGAAACACAGGCACATGTGCCCATGACAATGTAAGCTGAGTATCCCTTATCTAAAATGCTTGGGGCCAGAAGTATTTGGATTTTTTTTTTTTCCAGATTTTGGAATATATCATATACACAGTATCTTGGATATGGGACCCAAGTTAAACATAAAATTCCTGTTTCATATACACTTTATACATAGAGGCGAAAGGGAATTTTTTTTTTTTTAACTTTTGTATGGCAGTGTTAATTGCTACCTGTTGCATGAGGTGAGGTGTGTAATTTTCCACTTGTGGCATCATGTTGGTGCTCATAAAGTTTCAGATTTTGGAATATTTTGAAGTTTTGGAATGCTATCCCAAAATTGAGATCATCTTCATTACTTTTTCTCACATACTCGCTCATGTGTGAAAGAGAACTTATTGTTTCCTTTTGAGATGAAGGACCTTTTTTTTTTTTCCAGATTTTGGAATATATCATATACACAGTATCTTGGATATGGGACCCAAGTTAAACATAAAATTCCTGTTTCATATACACTTTATACATAGAGGCGAAAGGGAATTTTTTTTTTTTTTAACTTTTGTATGGCAGTGTTAATTGCTACCTGTTGCATGAGGTGAGGTGTGTAATTTTCCACTTGTGGCATCATGTTGGTGCTCATAAAGTTTCAGATTTTGGAATATTTTGAAGTTTTGGAATGCTATCCCAAAATTGAGATCATCTTCATTACTTTTTCTCACATACTCGCTCATGTGTGAAAGAGAACTTATTGTTTCCTTTTGAGATGAAGGACCAGATTTTAGAGTTTAATCAGGGGACCAGCAGTTGGCGTAATGGTTATGTCACTGGGCTCCCATGTAGTCAACCATGGTTTGAGTCCCGGACCTGGTGGCTTAAACTCATGCCAGGGACATGTGCGAGCATGCCCAAGATCCGGAGAGGAGAATGGAGGAGAAGGGACTGTGGTGTGGCCATCTCTCCTGGGGGGTGATTTCTTGCTTTCTGTTTCTGTCTCTGTCTTTCCGCCATGTGCACATGCCCTATAGCAAAAACCTCCCCACAAAAAGAGCTTGCTTTGTGCTCTACATTCCTCAATTCATTTGACCTTCATAGTAATTCATACAAAAAAAGTACTATCATTTCTTTCACAAATTGGGTAAAATGAGAATTAGCTTGAGAGTCTACAAGGAATAAGAGAGGGTGGGGAAGTAGCTATTGCTGCTCCTGGTCTTGGCAGGGGAGTCTAAAGGGCTTTGCTGCCCTGTCACCGCCCCTTGCCTCCTAGCTGGAGTCCTTGGAAGCCTCAGAGCCTGAGGAGAAGTCTGAAGACTGCTGGGAGCTACAGGTTAGCCCAGAGCTACTGGCCCAGGGGCGCCAAAAAATACTGGATCTGCTGAACAAAGGCACAGCCAGGGATCTGCGTAGCCTCCAGAGAATCGGCCAGAAAAAGGCTCAGCTGATTGTGGGCTGGAGGGAGCTCCACGGCCCCTTCGGCCAGGTAACAATAGCCTGGGAGAGCAGTCCAGGGGTTGGGAGAGACTTGGCACCCCTAAACCCCTTCCTTCCATTGCTGTCCTGCTAGGTGGAAGACCTGGAACGTGTGGAGGGCATATCCGGGAAACAGATGGAGTCATTCCTTAAGGTCAGGTCTCAGCTCCATTCCCTTCTCTCCCTGTACTGTGCCCTACCCCAGCTCTAACGTTGATGTCCGCTTGCTGTGTTGCAGGCGAACATCCTGGGTCTCGCCGCTGGCCAGCCCTGTGGCCCCACCTCCTGACTGCTGTCTCCTCAGTCGCTGTCTTACTTTTTTTCTTTTTGCTTTAGTCCTTGTATGACCACGTGTTGTGTAAATACAGTTTTTACTCCGGTGCTTCAGCCTGATTTTTGGGGTTTCGAGGGTGGGGCCAAGGTACAATTGCCCTTGGGGTCAGCAGAAGGCTGACCCCTCAGGCAAACTTCTCTGGGCGCCATCTTCGGGAAACAGTGAACCGGCTCAGGAATGTAAATAAACCGCTGGAATGGGGAGGGGAAAGAACGGTGGCCGAAAGGAAACAAAAAACTGAAGCGAAAGCCCGAGCACGACGACCGTTAGGCGGGCGCGCGCTGAGGGTTTAGCCCCGCCCCATCTGTGCCCCTGGCGCGCGCTCCCCAATTCTCCCGCTCAGCGACGACAGCGGTATTGTGCGCGTGCGCGTGAAATAACGGCCGCG